CTCTTTATAGGAGGCGGCAGTACAGGGTGACAGACAGCTGGTCCGTGAGAAAAGCTGGTTTCTAAACAGGCTCCCCTCACGGACCAGCTTCCGCCTGGCACCCTATGCTGCTGCATCTGATCCGGAGGCAGCAGTGTGGAGTGGCAGGGCTCCTTGGGAGCGGGGCCGGAGCGCACTGGCTGCCGGTCCCACCCCCGGGGACTAGAGAATAGTCGAGTAACCGCTAAGAATTCATGAGGTAACTGGACTATTCAATTAACCAATACTTGACATCCCTGGTTCGCTTCACTTCAGACTGTCATTTGGCAGTGAAGTCGCTACTGACCTGGATCGAATCTGGCGTGAAGGGGAAAGGCGCTGCTTCCTCCTTCCAACCCCCTAACAAATGATGCTGCATCGGTAGAGGTTTGGCTGCTCCCGAGAGAAACGGGACAGAAATAGACACCCAAACTCGATGGGCTGAAAGCTGCTGGAGAAAGAGACCAATCCCAATGAGGAGCAAAGTCAGCATCTAACTTCATCGTTGTTTTATAAGAAGAAACGTTCCCCACTAACCTGGGTGACTCCGGTCAGCCCCCAGAGTAACTGTGATTTGCCCTGGGACTCAGCCTGGATCGAAGCGGGGGAGCACGCTACTACCAGCAGAAAGCCATGATTAAGCTTGTCTGCATTGGTGGTTTGCCCTGACGTAACTCCACTGACGGCCTGCTGGCCACCTGGGCTGAAATCCCCAGTGTAAACTGGGGTCCTCAGGGTGGAGAGATACTGGGGGCAGGAGAAAGCAGCAGCGGAAGGTCACAGTTTAATGCTTTGCTTTTTTTTTTTTTTTTAACAGTTGAAATCCATGCACTGCAACGTCAGGACGATGTTCATGTGGACGGCACCGTGCACCTCCTGTGTTCTGGCCATGGGCCACAAAGTGCAGTGTTTGAAAGGGTGGACACCGGTGAGCCCTAGCCTAGGACTGAGAAGTTGCAGGTAAGGCCTAGCTCCCTGCTCAGGCTGCCCTATCCACCTCCCGGGCTGTTCCACGCCTCACATTTACCGTGCGGACGCACATGTGAGCCGGCGTTCCCAGGCATGCTGCTTGTGGGCTGGGGAAAAGGCTTGCCCTGTAGAAGACCAAAGGAAGATGGATGTGGCTGGTTCCTTCCATTGGGTGGGAGGCAATATAATTCTGGCATAGGGTCAAAGAGGAGGCACGGCTTACATATGTGTGCGCGTGGTCATGTGTATCGATGTAGCTAGCAGGGTATTTAACACTCATCTTGAAGACGTCCGAGAACTGAACAGGCATTAAGTCCTTACACTTCACAACCCAGTGGCGGAAAGTCGCCCAAATTATGAAATTGGAGGGCCCAGAGTTAAATACCAAAAACGTACAATAAAAGCGACCTGACGTTCAGCGATCGAGCATCCGCAGATTCACCTGGGATCAGGCTGGCCTCGCAGGTCGCTCTAAAACTCAAGTCCCTTTTATTTAGGGGCCTAAATGTGAGACGGGGGCCACCACATGTGATCCCTGTGTGGTCACAGGGCTCTACAGACACACAAGTTGCAGGACTGGGGTGTGGCGTCCTTAATTCTAGGCACCCCCGATGAAAAATGTTGGTGCCTGTGATTTGTCCGAGGTCACACGTGGAGTCCGTGACCGATTCGGTTTTAGAACCCAGGAGCAGTCGCATCTCCTCCGTTCTGGCAGCCAAGCCAAACTTGGAATTTTTCTAGTCCTCTTGTTTCCCCTTTTGACACCATGCTTGTCCCTGTGCTATCATAGAATCCTAGGGCTTGAAGAGACCTCAGAAGGTCATCAAGTCCAGCCCCCTGCCCAAGGCAGGACCAACCCAACTAAATCAACCCAGCCAGGGCTTTGTCAAGCCGAGACTTAAACACCTCTAGGGATGGAGATTCCACCACCGCCCTAGGTAACCCATTCCAGGGCTTCACCACCCTCCTAGGGAAATAGTTTTTCCTAATATCCTACCTAGACTTCCCCCACTGTTCCCTGGACTCCTTCTGAAAAGCTGTGCTCGCTTCTGTAGCTTAGCTGTAATTGGCCAAGGATGATGGGCAAATGAATTTACCAGAAGGTGGAACAAAGCCAGGGCACTGTAGATGACCATCTGCACAGCTAATCAGTAGTGAACTTCAGCAGCTACCATGGAGCTCCATGGTCCACTGTGTTCTGTGGCTGGAAAGCTTTTAAAAATAGCCCCAGGCAGTTAGCAGTTATTGCAGGTATATTCGGCGCTCAGACAGCCCCGATGGGAGAAGTGCACGTGCGGAACCAGGAGGTAGAGTTGAGTCCGTGAAAGGTTAGCTCCTGGCCACAGACACATTGACGGGACCAATAACACAACTGGGCTTTCACAGTTTCTCGTATTTCCTTGGTATGTGATGGCGATTCCATGCACACGCCCGGTGAGGGAGGGTCCCTCAGTGACGAGCCGGTGCGCTAAATGGTTTGGCAGACAGAGGGAAGAGGGGGGGGAGGCTTGCAGGGCGATCATACAGCTCAGGGTGCAAGGGGCTTGTTCCAGGTAGCACGGTGGCCAAGTTGGGAACTGACCCCAAAATGCCTGGGTCCCCACCGGCAAATAGTCACTTGGAACTCAGCGCTCTGCTACTGTGCTGGGAATCTCCCACCTGCCCATAGTATCATCCCTCTGGCGGAAGTGGGGCAAGGGAGCTGGTGTGAAGTCAGCGGTGCCTGCTCGCCTGCCACCGCACGGCCACTAGAGCCCCTTCCCAGCCCCCTGTGACCTTAGGAGGCTTGGTCCCAATAGACTTGACCTCTCCCGTGAATATTGCATTAGTCCTGTGGGATTGCAAATATCAAGGAGGGCGGATATGCTTGGAGATGGTACAGCCTGTTCAGAGCTCTGAAGATGAAGACTAGGACTCATAACTTGATCCAATACAGGGTGAACCTCTCGAGTCTGGCACCCTCAGGACTTGACTGATTCCAAACCAGAGCATTTTCCAGACCACAGGAGGTCGATATTGTCCAGCAGCCTTGCCAAAACTTCCATTGCTTATTGGGCTGTTAGAAGACATTTAGGGATATGTTAGAGCTAAATAATAGCGCAGAACACTTGAGAGTCAGGACTGAGAACTGTAAACAAACTTTATGGCACAGTGGGAAACTTGGCCACTCCCATGAAAAGTGGCCGTCCAGCTAACGAAAATCATTCCAGACAACAGATGTTTCTGGACCAGAGAGGTTCAACCTGTATTTAATAAGAAGCTAGCGAATTGATAGGAGCCCTTGCATAATATAACCTCTTCAGCCTGTGTTGCCCTCTTCAGGCGATTTGTAGCTGTTTGCACCAGCTAGAGATTCTGGTGTGCTCATGATTTTATGCCCCAGGACACTATATTGCACTCTTCATTTGTATGGAGTGGCTTTCAACAGTTTAGTTGGTTTGGATTAAAACAAAAATAAATCTACCCTCACGGTCCTGTCAAGTCCAAACCATTCAGAATAGGTGAGTCCCAAACGATTTGCTAGAATCACTGCTCTTGGATTTTTCTCTTTAAGATACACGGTCAAGCTTGGAGAAGAGACCCTTTCCCTCCCAGGCTGCACTCACATGTGTAAGAAGGAAATTGAGGAGAAAAAATGCTGCCCAGGATTCTGGGGTACTGAGTGCTATGGTAGGTTCTTCAGTCGTTCGTGGGTCTTTCCAGCCAATGACAGGTCAACATCCGGCCATAGAATGACCAGTCCTGCAGTACAACTCCACGAGGAGTGATTGGTTTTCAGGGTTCTCTCTCCTGTTTCCCAGACACTTAGACTGGATCCTAAGATTTTTAGCACCTATTTCGGGATGTTTGACAGTCTTGGGGAGGGACTCTCCACCACCTTGCCCCCCGCCTCCCACATGATTAGAGCCCTGTTGTGGTCTCATTGCTGGCACAGCTCCCTTTGCAGAAGTTGCTCTGCTTTTAACAAATGTGTTCATAAAGAGAATTTTTATTTAAGAAATTTTCCAAGCAAAAGAGAGAGATTCCCTGTTCAGGTTTTCCCTGTTCTAATGGAGCTAAGAGGCAAAGGCCCAGCCATCCAAAGAGCTGAATGTCCTTGGTGCCCCTTGGCCCAAGTTAATTACAGCGCCTTAGAGACTTTTAGAGCTCTTTGTCCCTCATGAATAACATTTTTCCTCTGCTGACAGAAAAACAAAGTCATTAATGATCCAGTGGAGATAGCACCCTCCCCCTTTGTCAACACAATGGAAGCCCCCTCAGGCAGATGTTTCATTCTTTGAGTCCATTTGTTTGCTTTGCCAGAATGCCCTGGTGGATCTGACACGCCCTGCAGTGGCCGTGGGACTTGTCTGGATGGTATCACGCGGAATGGGACCTGTATCTGTCAGGTCAGTATGTGGGGGCATTGGGAGGAAACGTGAGGGAGATGTAGAGACCCAGTGCAGGACTAGCAGGGAAAGTGTTAACCCTCTGGCTGGACAAAAGGGCGCCGCGGCTTTCGAGGAGGGTGTGGATTTGTCGGGGTGCAGGGCCAATGTGTTCCCTGATGCAGCAAAGCCTGGGTGCGTTGGTGAGAGCTGGAGAAGGTCTCTAGGAAGAGCTGAAGCTGACCAATGTGATGGGGAGGGAGGGGGGGGATTTCCCTCATTCCTTCAGTGACAGAAGCTGTGTGTTCTACCTCCCCATGGGCTGAAAGAATCCCTGGTGTGCTTGGCCCTTAATGAAGAGGAGGGATAGCTCAGTGGTCTGAGCAGTGGCCTGCTAAACCCAGGGTTGTGAGTTCAGTCCTTGAGGGAGCCATTTAGGGATCTAGGGTAAAATCTGTCAGGGATGGTGCTTGCTCCGGCTGTGAGGGCAGGGGATGGACTTGACCTCCCAAGGTCCCTTCCAGTTCTACGAGATAGGTTTATCTTCTTTCACGTCTTTTTTTCCCCTCTGACAATCGTGTGCACCAGCAAGGAGTTGAGGGTTGATCCCCTCAGAGGTGGTTAGCGGCCTATCTCCCATCAGCATGCCTTTGAGGGTCTGGGCCTTACCAGTTCTGCCCCCCTCAGGCCACCCCATGGGCCCTGTCCAGCGTGCTGGTGGGGATCTTGGGTACCTGTTCCTCTGACAAACTCTTTCAAAAGGTGGAGGGCGTAAGGGGCCTCTGTGCTACTCGTCTGTGGGGCTCCCATGGATTCAGGTCGGTACTGCCCCGCACACCAGACTTGTGGAAACAAGCTAAAGAAATACTCCTTCTGCCAGAGCTTGAACGTGCATGTGGTGCTCACCAGGAAGAACATAAGAGCGGCCAGACTGGGTCAGACCAAAGGTCCATCTAGCCCAGTATCCTGTCTTCCACAGAGGCCAATGCCAGATGCCCCAGAGGGAGGGATCACAACAGGGAATCCTCACGTGATGGGAATCCCCGTTCCTACCATTCATTTCCTGACAGAGGCTAGGACACCATTCCTACCCATCTGTCCAATAGCCATGGATGGACCTAACCTCCATGAATCTATCTAGCCCTTTTTTGAACCCTGTTAAAGTCCTGGCCTTCACCACATCCTCTGGCAAGGAGTTCCACAGGTTGACTGTGCACTGCATGAAGAAAAACTTCCTTGTGTTTGTTTTAAACCTGCTACTTATTAATTTCATTTGGTGACCTTCCCCCTAGCTCTTTTATTATGAGAACAAGTAAACAACTTTTCCTTATTCACTTTTTCCACAGCAGTCATTATTTTATAGACTTCTGTCATCTCCCTCCTTAGTCTCCTTTTTTTAAGCTGAAAAGTCCAAGTCTTTTTAATCTCTCTTCATATTGGACCGGTTCCAAACCTCTAATAATTTTTGTTGCCCTTTTCTGAACCTTTTCCAGTGCCAGTATCTCTTTGGAGAGGAGACCGTGAGGCCCAATTTAAGCATAGCGCTCCCTGACCTTGTTGAGTCCTTCCTTGCTTCAGGTCTTGCAGATGAGATCTGCAGCTGCCTCACTGTACCCACATACACCTCTCAGACCCAGCTGGCACCGGTGACCCCAGGAAGGGTCATAAAAGAATTCACACAGACACAGTGAGGATTATAGAATCCCAGATCCACCAGCTGACCCCAGATCTGTGAACTACCCCACGAAAAGGCCTCCGTTTATGACGTATTCTGCAGATCTGCAGAAAAGCTGGTAAAATTCAAAACTGGGTTTAATGTATGTGGCTCGGCACAACTGAACCCGAAAGGAAAGTGGATATAGACATAATTTAGGGCCTGATATTCAGCCCTGGTCGGTAAATAGAAAAGTCCCATTAACATGAGCGAACTTTGGCTCAAGCCCTCAGAGAGTGAAAGAAGGTGAGAATTTATGCCTTTGTTTCTAGACCTGATACGGGCATTGTTTCTTCAGCAACTTCCAGGGTGGTTCAGCTTTTCTCTCATTGGTAAAATGACATCTGCTGCTCTTTCTCCCCAAGGGCTCTTGGTAGGGCATGTGTGAGCGCCGGGTTCTGTGTTGTCGCCTGATGCGCGAACAGAAAATCCAGAGGCGCAACAGCGAGCGGAAACAGCAATTCATCATCACGCTGCCGCTTGAACCAAGTGGCCCTGTAAGAAAAGGACTGACCATTGGTTTTGGCTCATTTAGGGGCGGTTCGGTGGATCTGCCTGCCAGGATTGTCGGGATGAGAATCTGTTTGGCCCCGACTGTCAATCAGGTAAACCCTCGGGAAGGGGAGGAGCCTAGAAGGGGCGGGGCTGGAGGTGGGGCTGGGGGCTTTCCTCTCCCACCCTTGCCTTCACCGACGGCCCATGAGGCTGGCACGGGAGGGCTTCACTGTGCACAAGCAGGAGCTGGGCTCTGACAAGAACTGCAGCTGTAGCCTTCTCTCCTCAGTCTCCTCCTCCTGGACGAGGCTGTACCACATTGGCCTGGCAGGGAGGGTGCTGGAACCGTGCGCCCACGTGTGCAATGTGGGGCCAGTGGTAGGGTGTCTAAATGCCACATTTGGGTGCAGGAGTCCGCACCGAGGCTTGTTCAGGGCTAGTGCTCCTCACCTCTTCCTGAGTGCCTGGATGTGGGGGTGGGCATCCCTTAGGGCCCATGCTAGGCGCCCCCGCCCCCCAACCATGGCCTTCGCCATTGGTGCTAGGGCGAGCCATGGGCCCTGCTGGGGCATGCTTGTTGCTCCAGCGGTCAGTAAGCAGAGCGGTCATCGCCGCCGTCCCTAGGGCACGCGTGTGGTCTCGGCCACCCGCCCACGGGGCAGGGGAGCCGCTGGGCTTTGGCTGGTGGCCCTGCCTCCCCCCGCCCCCCCGTCCTTCCATGCCTGGGGGGGGCGGCTCCCCTCCCTGCGGCAGGCGGGGCAGGAGCCAGGACTAGCTGCAACTCCGCAAAGGTTCTGCCCACGTGGTCGAGCATGCTCCTTCCAGGGGAGTGAACCAAGTGCCCCTACCTCCCCCCGCCCTGCCCGGATGCCCCAAGCGGCTCAGCGCTGGTTCGTCCAGTGTTCTTCCTCCACCTTCAGAGGCTGGAGGCAAAGCCTCAGGATGGCTTTGACCTCAGAGTCAAAGGCTACAGTGCGGTTGGCTGTAGACTAAGGTGTCCGGAGGGATGTTAGCTCCAGATGTTAGGAGCTTTGTCCCCTCCTCCCCCGACACACACACACAGATACGCTGTAGGTTCGCCCTACTGCAGACCAAAAAGCCTGGATTAGCGTTGTAAGCTTGCAGCGTGTTTTAGTGGCCGTATCCCGGGCTCCCTGTACTGTTCCCTGTGGTGCCGGTACCAGGCTTGTGTGGGTTTCCCTTGCAGTGTGCGACTGTCAGCATGGAGTATGCAACCACGGGGTCGCTGGCAATGGGAGCTGTACCTGCCACGGAGGTTACACCGGCCCGAAGTGTGACCAAGGTAACCGGCGGCTTTTCCCTCCCTCAGAATGTAGCTGTGGTAGAGCGGAGGGGGCTGTGGGGCCCAGAGGAGATGTTCTGACATAGGAAAGGTGGAGAAGGAGGAGCAATAGTCTCGCCTGGTGGTTACGAAGCTGGGCGAGGACTCGGGAGAGCCAGGAGCCGTCCCAGCCCTGAGACCGACTCGGACTGTGATGGTGGGCAAGTCGCACAGCCCTCTCTGGGCCTTGCTTCCTGCTCTGGTCAATGGGGCGAAGGCATCTTTCTTCTGCCCTTTGTCCCCTTCCCTGTCTGGAGTGAAGTCCTGGGTGCGTGTTGCTCTCTGTGCCCCGTGTAACAGGACTCCAGCTCAGCCTGTGCCCTCTCGTGCAAGTGAAACACAAGAGTAGTGGGAATCACTTACATTACAGGCAGTCCCCAGGTTACGTACAAGATAGGGACTGTAGGTTTGTTCTTAAGTTGAATCTGTATGTAAGTCAGAACTGGCGTCCAGATTCAGACACTGCTGAATCTGGACGCCAGTTCTGACTTACATACAGAATCAACTTAAGAACCCCAGGCGTCCCCAAGTCAGCTGCTGCTGAAACTGATCAGCAGCTGATTCCAGGAAGCCCGGGGCAGAGCAACTCTGCCTGGGGCTTCCTGTAGTCAGCGCTGGTCAGTTTCAGTATGTAAGTCAGAACTGGCGTCCAGATTCAGACACTGCTGAATCTGGACGCCAGTTCTGACTTACATACAGAATCAACTTAAGAACCCCAGGCGTCCCCAAGTCAGCTGCTGCTGAAACTGATCAGCAGCTGATTCCAGGAAGCCCGGGGCAGAGCAACTCTGCCTGGGGCTTCCTGTAGTCAGCGCTGGTCAGTTTCAGCAGAAGCTGACTTGGGGACGCCTGGGGCAGAGCAGCTGGGGTGCTACTGGACCAACCCAGCAGCACCCCATCTGCTCTGCCCCAGAC